TGGAGTCCCTCTTTCCCTTTAAAGAGGGTCCCACCCCCGGAGACAAAACTGCTTTGTCTTCCACTGCAGAAGTGCTCTTTGATGCAGCACAGCAGAATCCAAGCAGTAAAAGCAAAACTCAGACTGCAAAATAAAGTAAGCATAAGCTGGAAGAGCTCTTGTTTTGGGCAGTTAGATATACTCATGATTTTCACCAGTTGACATGTCTTACCAGTTACAGAGGGTGAATGTGACTTTCTAATAATGCCTTGAACTACATGCAAAGCTGCAGCTTTGCAAATCTCAGTGACATGGAGTACATTTCTGTTTTGTTACTTACTGATGCTAGGCTTGGCAGTCCCCGCAAATCATTTTGCGGAAGTAGGAATGAAGCATAATCTGTAGAATGAGCTAGGATATAATGCCTGTGACTCATGAGTAGTTTCATGGGAATAAAGCTGCTTCATATCCAACCTGAATTCTATTGGAATTAAGCCTGCCTGTTCCTCTTTCCTTGCTTGGCTTACAAGATTGAACTGGAAGTCTTTGAGGACTTTTTTACCCCTCTCCAACTCAGAGAAAAAGCAGCTGTTCCAGGAACAAGAAAAGATGTTCCATAAATTAGGGTGTAATGTGATAGCTGAAAATAATTTATCCTATGGTCAAAATACCAAGTGAAAGGGATGCTGTGCTAATGTATGAACAAAAGGACTAGATGAGAGGATCTGTGCAGGCACAACCTAGATAAGTTACCATGGCTGAGCAAAAGAGCATAAAGATTGGCAAAGGATTAATCTATTAAAGTATAAACTGCAAGTACTGGGGGCAAGTACTTATTCTTTCTTTTCAGAAGTTGTACTTGACTGAGAGGTAACTGCAAGTGTTGGGCTACAATTGTCCAAAAATTTCATTACTGATATTTGCTGGCTGTCAGAGGGAGCTGTTTGTTTTAACCCGCAACAGTAAATAAAGGGATGAGGTTATTCAAAGCCTAATGATCACCTAGTATTTTTGAGGGTATATTTTTATATACCCCAGTTTTGAGGGAATTGGGTATATCTAACAACTATAAATAAGTTTTAACATTACGATTACAAGTTTGACTCATAAAAATAACTGCAAGTTACATGTAATATCTGCTCCATGTTCAGATAAGAAAATTAATCACAATAAAATGCAAATAAGCTTTTATCAGGTGGGGTGCTGGGTCAGATCTAAACACCTATCAGTGTCAAGTCAGCCTGAGCATGAACTTACTTGGCTATTTTTTTATTTTATTATTAAAAGGTGCTTTAGAACATGGAGCCTGTAGAGAGGAACATGGAGTGAGTGCAGGTCACACATAATATGCATATATATGCTAGAAATTATGATTCTGAAGACGTTTTAAAGACGAAATTATCAGTAAAGGACATAAATGCTGTTATGAAGGAGATATGTCAACTCTATGCTTTACTTAAAAGGAGAATATGCAGAATGAGTAGAGAAGTGATAATTACTTTTTCTTTGGCTGGTGCTGGAATAATGCCCACGTTCTGATCTACCTTCATTGAAAAATTAAAATGGGTTACTAAAAGGAAAAAAGAGATGCAGTGTTCAGGACTAGGAACCTTATTCAAAGAATGCTAATTATAATTAGACAGTTACCATAAGGATATACCAGGAAATAACTCACAGAAATGGTACTAAGAGCTTCAAACTCCAGCAGGAAAGGAGACAGCATTTTCAGTAATTGAGCATAAGAGCAGTGGAATAGAGCTCTGATAGGAGAAGGTTAATTCTCTACTGCCACTGTGGGCAAGAAGGGTCTCTCAGAAGCTTTCACACTTGTACAACATGGCATATCCCCATAGTTTTTCTGCAACATTAATTCTATTAAAGCTATTAATTCTATCTTAAAAATTATCACTTGTGAAAGAGTGATATAGCTACAAGACATGAGCACAGTGTGAGAGTAACACACTTTTTATTCATTATCTGTAGATTTGCACAGGGGGCTTCTGTTAAAACTTCAGTCTACATTCATGGATATTTTAGTCTTACCTTCTAATTTACTTTCATGGTGAAAGGTACATAAAATATGCTTAGCCCTATATTTCTCCTAAAATATGACAGAGGAATTCAGCAGAGTTTGAGGAAAAGTCAAAATCAATTTTTGGCAACTTTTGAACTTAATTTTGAACAACTTAATTTGTAAGTACAATTGTCTGTCATCAGCACTGGGAAGACAACTTGGGCAGCTTGTTGCAGATCTACAACCCTGAGAAGATTTTCAGACTGTAGTATGAAAAAATTATATAAATGCTGAAGTTTTTATTTCTTTATATAATTTTTATTAACATACAAATGCAACCAAACAACTTTATTCTTGTAACATACTTGTAACTCTGTGTCATAAGTGGCACAGGAAAATACCTCTACTGCCTTCTGTTTAAATCACTACAAATCTGGAAGAATTGCAAAGCTCTTCACTCTGTAAAAATGTTCCTTTTCAAGACCACTGTTTTTATTTGTCAGTTCTAAATAAACAACAGTGAGAAGGGTTGCTTTTTTTCTTTGTTATTGCTTTCTGGATGGCTGCTGAATCCTGGGCAGCTACTAACTACACATGAATATAAAGATTTGGCAAGTGAGAACGAACTGACAGAATGAATTTCTGCAAAATTTGTGCTTTAATTGCAGATGCTGTTTCTATCTGTGTGTCACTAAAACCAGGGCTGATGCTGCAGCTGCTGAGCCATAAGAGGGCAGCTGCTGCAGATGAAGCTCCATCCTCATTCTGGTCAGCCGCAATGTGAATGCCTGCACTGCCTCTCCTCTTCCCTCAGCTGAATTCCTTTGCCTTTTAAAAATTCCCACTGCTGTCTCTATTAGGTGGAAGAGGCACTAATGATGTGCATGAAGAGTCAGAAAACGAAATGACAGGAGGAATTTAAAAAAGATTGTGCAGCACCCTTATCTACACTTGGAGTTGTGCATGGCAGTTCCACATCTCATCAGACAAAAACGCTGTTTCTTCCATGGCAATATGAGTCACGTTGCTGTTAATGAATAGTCATTAATTCTGCATTTTCACTAATAAGAAATGTTAGAAACAAAGTTAGGAATCTTGAGAAAACGCTACAGTTCTGGTTCATTAATCTGTGTTTTTTGTTTGGATTCTTCTCTGCATTTGGTATAAAAGCTCTAAAATCTTAAAGGACAAAGCACAGGAGTTGTGGTAGAAGTGAGGTATTGGCTTCATGAGGCTTCTTTCTTTTAGAGGGAATTTGAATGCCGATTTTTTTTAAGACACAAAAAAATACACAAAAGCCTGAGTCACTCTGACTTCAATCGCAGTGGAAATAGCAGGAGATGGGATGTTCCCAACTTGCCATTCTGCTTATTCACATTCCTGTTCATAGTCATGAACATGTATAAGTGTCAGTTCTACATTTTTGAGATGAAGATGACAGCATTGGTAGCTTTTATGACCATTGCTGGAGAGGGACAGTACTGTCCAAGATCAAAGTCCTGCCTATAAAGAAATAGATGAAAACAGGGATAACGAGTAAGTGCCAGAGCACCATCAAAGATCTGCTGTAACATTAGAGTGGGGGATGGCAGCAGGCCAGTTTCTTCATTGGACAGGTGTGTGAGACTTGTTTCCTGGCCATGGATAGAAAAATGAAGTCATGTCATTCATTACAACACTTGATTGCCATGAGGATGATTAGAAGAAGGAAGAAGGTGAAGGGACTGGGCAAGTGATGTATGAGAAAAGACTAAGGAGCTTTGATTGCTTAGCTTAGGGAAGGCTCAGGGTGCTCTCATCAATGTGTATAAAGAACTGATGGTGGGAGTAAAGGTGGATAGGATTGTTCTTAGAGGTGTCCAGTGACAGGACAAGAAGCAATAAACACCAATTGAAGTAAATGACAGTTGAATTAACTATGAGAAAAACTGAGATTTTTGCAGCAAGGGTAATCAGATGTCAGGATGGGTTGCCCAGAGAGGTTGTAGTCTTCCTTCACTGGAGATGTTCAAGAACTGTCTGGTTGCATTTCTATGCCATGTGGTCTGGGATAACCCTGCTTGAGCAGGGAGGCTGGACTGGGGGACCCACCTGGTCCCTTCTAGCCTTAAACATTCTGTGATTCTGTGAAATGATTCAAGAGGCCTGGACTGAATCCCAGTAGATGAAGGGCACTGCCCTTCACATCCTGGCAGCCGAGACAACACTTCTCACAACCTCCACTATCCCCAACCGGGTCCCACTGCTAATGGCTCCCCCTGTGCAAGCACACTGGTCCCTGCACCTCCAGTGGGGACAAGCCATCCCTCTCCTTCCAAAACTGATGTTCCCCCTTTGGCATGTGTGAGTTCCTGCCAGGCAAGCGGCACGCAGGGGTTGCTCCCGACCGGCGCTCTGCCCGGAGCCGGCTGCCCGCGGCCGCTCCCGCGTCTCCTGCCGGCACCGCGCCCTGCCCGCACCTGCGGCCCCACGCGGGGTCGCTCCCGCCCGCGCCGCCCATTGGGCCGGGAGCGTCACGCGCCCGATCCATGCTGCGCGCGCGGGCCGGGAATCACCGCGGCTGCCGGTGATTCATTGGCCGTGGCGGGGCGCGAGCCCGCAGCATCCCGGCCGGCTCCCCCGCAGCATCCCGGCCGGCTCCCCCGCTGCATCCCGGCCGGCTCCCCCGCAGCATCCCGGCCGGCTCCCCCGCTGCATCCCGGCCGGCTCCCCCGCAGCATCCCGGCCGGCTCCCCCGCAGCGCCCGCTGGTCTCCGGCCGGCGGGGCCAGGGCGCTCCCGGGAGGCTGCGCCTGGAGCACGGGACGAAGCGGCGTTTCGGGAGCCGGCAGGGCGGCCGTGCCCGGTGCGGTAAGAGCGGGGTGGGGACGGCTCTGCGGGGCAGGGGCTGAGCGAGCGCAGCGGGAAGGGGACGGCCCCGCCTTCCCTGCCCTGTCCCTTTCTGCCCCTTCCCGCCCCGCGGCAGGGCTCAGGGCGGTGGGTGCTCCCGGCTCGGCGGCGTGGGGAAGCTCCGAGCGCCTCTAGTTCAGCCTGCGGTTAACAGGTGTCTGAAGCGTTTTTGGAACAGAGAGCAGTCGGCTCCCGCGAGTCTTAAGGTCTGGAGTGCTCCGCTATTTTTTATTTTACTTTAATGAATAATAACTAAAAAAAAAAAAAGAAAAAAAAAAAAAAAAAGATGAGGCGGCACTGTTCGTTTGGGTGACATGGAAAATGCCGGCTGTAGAGACGCTTGTGTTTCCTTTCTGAATTTGTAACGGAGCGATTCCTTCTGTATTCAAAAGCAAAACAGCTACAAAGCACGAGCTTGCTTGGAATACATGGCAATTATTTTCAGTGTTCTGAAATTGTATGTTGTGTTTTGCTCTGACTGCTGAGCATTTGAATGAACTTAAAAATTGAACGTAAAATGTTTGGGGAGGAGGAGAAAAAAACCCCAACAAGGTAAGTTTATTATATGTTTGTTGTGGTGCTGTTTGTTTGGGGTTTATTTGTTTGTTTGTTTTCAGATGGCATCTCTTTCCATTTGTATTTTCAGGCTGAAGGGATGTCAACTCTCCTACCTACCATATAGCCTTTCATTACTTCTGTTCTCAGTCTTGCCTTCTTCCCTTTCCCCATCTGCTCTTCCCTAGTCTTCTGTTGATTCTCACACTCCTTTCCCCCCCTCGGCTTCCACTTTTCTTCCTTATCACTTAACCATCGTTTTTTTAACAGTTGTCGTCTCAGTGGTCTCTTACTCTGGTGAGCCCTCTCAGTTGACAGTGATTGTTCAGCGTAGTACAGGTCCCTTTCCTGAGCTGTCTACCATTCTTTTTCCTGGAGAGGATCACCTCAGTGAGGAGCCGGCAAAACTCTCTGGGCAGTCTCTGATCCCTGACATTTACCTTGTTCATCCTATCATATCAGCCTTGTTTGGCACTTAAAATCGGACAGTGACTGAAAGCACAGACACAACACTAGTTCGGCACTTTTGCTGTGACAGGAGTGGCTGGTAGAGGGACGGGGCAGCAGGGGCAGTGCTGTGTCAAACTGCCTCGGCAAGGCTGGTTGGGCTTCACTGAAGAGAGCATGGAGGTGGTTCTCTTTCCAGGTGTGCTTCCCAGCCCACTGCTCTGTCTTGGAGCTGCTCCTGTTTCGGTCTGTTCCTCTCATTTTAGCCTTCCAGAGGCTGTACTCCCAGGGATGCAGATTTATGTAAGTGCTGTGGAAATAAATAGATGTTTTGGTTTCTGCTTGGAGACAATCAGGCAATGGTCTCACATTCGGCTTGTTTTTCTTGTCCATTTGTGGTTTTCTATTCAGGTTCCTAATCAGAGAGTCAAGATAATTTTGACAACAGGAGTAAATACCTGGAAAGATGCCAAGGGAACTGCAGATCTCCATTGACTGAGGACAGTGTGGCTCCATTCTTCACGAAAATAATGAGATATTCTGTGTATCAATCACAACCAAATATGTATAAAATAAAACAAGCTATTGCAAGAAATTTTTTTTTTTTAAGGAAATAAAATCCAGAATATGAAGATCTGGACAAAGTCATTTACTGCATGTTCTTTTGCTGATCATCTATGTACATGTTATGGTGGAAGAGGTTTTGAGTCAAGCAGAGATGATACTCCTGCAACTTTTCAACAGTTTAAATTAAATTTTCAGTCTTTGAACCTATAATAGCAGCTATTGCTGGTAAAATTTTATTACAAATAGACGAAGGCTTTATTCTGCATACTCACTGCAGTGGGACACGGTTGTACTGTTATAGTGATGTTTCCCTGGCATCTAGTTACTTCTTTATAGCCTGGTGTAATGCAGAAACGTGGTAAGGATGAAGAATGGGAACATGCAGATGTGTGCCTGTGAGATGTGCACTGCTGTCTGATTTACCTGGGAGGAAATCTGCATTTGAGACACTACAATAAATTGTTGTCTTCTTAAGCAGCACTGGAGGGAGGAATTAGATCCAAAGACAGGGAAAAAAACCTCAGTTGTTGTTCAGAAAAATCCCAAGCCAATTTGATTTTTAATGAACAACTCCATTTCAGTGAGTGCTTGAAATTGTCAGGGAACCAATTAAGGCAAAATTTCTGCATCGTGTTGTAGGCTAACTACAAAAGTTCAGAAAATGCTTTTCATACAGGTGTGGAAGCTTTCAAGAAAAACAGCATGATTTTATTTTATTAGTTCTTGAGGAAATGTAATACGTAATTCAAATTGAATTACGTATTTTTCAAATTTAAAAGCTTAAGCGTTATTTTGCATCAGAGAGATTACGGTTTACAGACCCTGTGTGGGTGAGAGCATCAGCTGAAGATTTTTCCACCACGTCACTGTCAGACCCCAGCTGTGAGGTACCCAAGTGTGGGAGTAGCTCTGACAAATGGTCTTTTGTACCTGGGAACAGAACTATTTCTGCAGACGGAACCATCGAGAAGTAAAGAGGTGCTATGTGAGGCATGCTGTGGCCTGTACTTCAGACCAGACGAATGTTATCTGAAGATTAGGGTTTAATGTTGTAATGGGAGAGAGGAAATTGTACTCTGCTTCCACTCTCCTTGTCAGTCTCAGTGCTGTGGTGGCTTTTTCACTGATGCAAATCTAAAACAGAGCTCTTAAATGGTGCCTGAACACACTCTTCCATTTTCTGGGCTGTGCAACCCTATGAACATCTGCTCTGCATTTAAACCTGGGCCCTGCACATTGTGATGGGGCTCCCTGAGGGGTTGGTAGGAGAGGCCTGTGCAGCAGTAGCTGCTGCAGGGCACAGGACATCTGCAGGGCCAGGTAAGCGGCAGGAAGGGAGCCCAGGGAATTCTAGCTGTTTATCAGTGCTGAATTTCCCAGGAACAATCACACAGGAGTAGTCCCTTCTCTCAGCCTTGCCCCTGTTAAAAATGGTCAGTTTAGTTGTGGTTATTTGAAATACTCCTGAGTGCCTCTTGTTCTTTGGTTGATCTTGAGGGAACTTGGATTTGCAACTGCCATACCTGCATATCTACAGTAGCTACATATCTGTGCATATCTACAAGAAGGTTGACTTCTAGTGAGGAAAGGAAAATGGGCTCAGTACTGATTGTATAATCCTGCCCTAGATGCAGGAAATAAATGGAATTATGGCTAATCTTTTTTACTTTTAGATAATACAATCTCTTAAGACTGTATTCCAGCTGTAATTTTTAAAGCTTTTGGTGCTGGAGTTAAGCTTCAGTGTGTTTTGGGAGCAGGTCCCAGTAACTCTACACTAAGTGTTCCATGTCCCTTTACTGTTAGTGCAGGACTGAAATTTTTAAGAGCAAAAGGAATACAGAGCTTCTGTGATGCTATGTTAGGTATATAATTCCTTGTCTTCTCAGAAAGGCTTGTGAGTGAGATGATTACACAGTATTTGCTTTATTTGTTTTTAGGTCCATACAGTTGCCTGTGACCTCATAGTATGATATTATTTCATATTAGTTTCTGCCTTAACTTCCATGTGGCCCCTACCCAGTTGAGCTGCTAAATGGCCATTAGTGTTTGTATATAAGGATAATAAAATATGTTATATGATGTGTGATATGGTGGTCTGAAGCGCAGATGCCTGTAATTCTGTTACCTTTCTCATCCTTAGTTCCCAGGTTAAGCAGTGACTAAAACAGTTTTTTTCTTTCAATTGTTATAAATTCCTTTTGTGATGAATCCAACGTTATTCTTGTTATTTCAGTGCAATAGCTCATGCAGATAATGCTGTTTGTGAACACTGTTCATAAACATTACCACTGTCACCATCGCACTTCCTTTTCTCTCCAAGAAAAGACCTAGGTATCACACACTCAGAGTTGGCATGTATATTGAATTTTAATTGCACTGTCAGTTTCCAGATATCTTTCTTTTTATTCTTTCTTCTTTCGTTGTTTTTTTTTTTTTTTTTTTTTTAATAAATTTCACTTCTTTTTTATAGCTTGCTTTTCTCTCTTTTACTGCAGGTAGGATTGGGTATTCCCCTGAAAATACCACAAGTTTGATCTCATATCATGCCCATCTAGGATCTTGGGAATTAGCAAGAAGCAAGGACCGTTACGGTAAGAATTTGCTACAGACTACCTCCTTGTCTGTGATTGGGAGTAGCGCAGCTTTGTTCAAAGCAGTAGGCATGTGGCAGAGTTGTAGAAAGGTGGGATCTGTATTACTTTTCAGCTGATGCAGTGCAGCAGAGTAAATAAGTTTGTGCTTGTTTTTTTTTTTGTTTCATTTTCTCTGATTTCATCTCTTAGCCTTTGGGATGGAGTAAAAAGGAATGTGGGGGTGGCTGGCTCCCTTTCATCCCTGCAGAATATTGTTGTTGGTCTGGGGACTTTGGGGATATGGGAACAGCCTGAGTTGTTAACTTCTCATAGCCAATAACTTCTGGGTTAATTGTACTGCCCAGATGATGAAGTTGATGCATCAGGGTGTAGTGCTAAGCTTTCTCAGGCTGGGGCTTCTCACAGTTTGAAATGCTGCTACTTTTTTTCCCCATGTCTAGCTCTTGGGATCTTCAGAATTTGCAAGGGGGCAACTTCTATGAAAACTATGAAGTGCTTAGATTCCATGGCAGTAAGCAGAATAGAAGTATGTAGAAAATAAATGTAGTTTTTGATTGAAAATTTTTGACTGAAAAGTTGCTTGTGTCTACCATACTGGAAATTTCTCTTGCTCCAAAAATGAACAGTACCTCACCAGTCCACATGGTTTTATTTTGTACACGCAGGTCAGCTTCGGAGGTAGTTGTTGCTGGTTACATACAAGACCAATTTCAGATATATGCAAAACCAAATATACCTTTGTGGCCCCAGTGATGGTGCAAGCCATGAAGTTGTGTTGCAGATGTGGTGTGTGTTCAGTTTTGCTTTTACAGTGACTCATTTTGAAAGGTAAGTGGCTGAGACCCTCATGCAGTGCATGGATGATGTCCAGATTGAAGCAAATAGTCACACTGCACAATGTTTGATGCCCTGCTGCTACAGTTCAAAATTGTGGATGTTGTGCAAATGTAGCCCAACAGTCAAACCTAGCTCAGGACCACTGGCATCTCTCAGGCAAGCTTGTAGCCTTACAAACTTTCCCACAGGTTACAAACGAGTTTCCATGAAGGTATAATTTAACTCCAGGAGTTGCAGTTGAGTCTCCATGGGGAGTGTCTAGGTACCTGTTGACATCCTTTATCTGCAGAGAGCAATCCAATGCTCCAGAAACAGGCCATGAGCACTTGCCCTTTTTAGTTTCCAGGATACTGATCTGCCTGAATCTCCTGGTTTGCAGCACTGAACACAGCCCTGCTTTGGAGTTTCTTGAGTAATCAAAGTGAAGCTTTGTGTTGCTCACTTACTTGCTCCTGAAAGAAGTGAGCTGGAGTGAGGAAAGACTGTCTGCATCCATACACATCAAAATCAACAGAGGGACTTTCATGTTTACCTTAAACCAACTCCTGTGACCCCCAGAAAAACCCTCAGCAAAGTCAATTGGAGAAGCCCTCTGTCACGCTTCAGACTGTGGGATGGATCACTGTTCTCCATGCCTGAGAGAAGGTGTGTTTGAGTGCATCTCCTGGAGGAATTCCTTCACTGCAAGCATTGCTTGAAGTTCCTCTGTGACCTGCTGCAGCCTGGCAAGTGCACCTGACAAATGGCTAGCATGCCAGCTCACCCTGCTTTGCTCTTCCCCAGAATATGCAAGGTCTAAGTATTCATTACTTTCACTGTGGTGCTCCTTGTACCACCACACTAGACTGGCTTTTCAAGTAGAATGAAAGGTTGGTATTCACATCCTTCAGGCTGAGGTTTTGGAGGTATTTGGACAGAAAAAGCTTACAAGTGAGCTGTAAACCAGTTTAGGAAATGCTTATGCTTAGCTGTACTGGATGATTTAGAGGCATATTTTGTATGCCCCTCAAGGTATAGATTAGCTTGGGAGCTGGTGACCCAGGTTTCAGTTAGCAGCTCTCCCTCTGACAGTGGCTTATCTACAGTGAAAGTAAGTCTTGAAACACTGGCAGCCAGTGGTGAAACTCCAGAGCATCCAGTCCAAACTTAATACTAAAGCAGGACAGATTCTTTTTGTTCTGGAGGTGGCTGTACTCCCCATAAACCATAACTGGGCACTAGAGACTAGAATGGAAGAGAGATTTGCCTGTGGCCCAATTAATCCCATCTGCCTACACTTGAGGTGGAAGAAACAAAATTTTTCAGACTGTTCACATACCCTACTCTGAAATTTTTTGCCTATGGATTTCAGCTCTTCTTGTAAAAGTAAGAAGAGGGAGGTGACTGAATATTAGTGATGCCATATGAGGAATATAGGAATGATAGACTTGTCTGGAAGGCTCTAAAAAAAAAAAGCAGCCCTTAAACAGAACTGTGCTAATAAAATTTGTCAAGACATGTCATCAACAAAATATCAAGGAGAAGGGGAAGAAAAATGGTGGGAACCCTGTGTAGCATCATGTAGTCTCTTGGAGTGCAGTCACAAAATGAAATACAAACTGCTGTTAGAAACAACTGACAGATCTGAGATGGGAACAAACTATGACAGGAATCCCATGAACTGGATTGTCCATTATAGCCATCTTTTTTCTTTCTTCTCTGTGTTTTGAGGTATTTATTCTTGCTGGAGGCTTTCTGGGTGGCTAGGAGGGAATGAGCATAAGGTGGTGAATCTTCTTGTCCTGACCCAGGAATAGAGTTGGTAACTTCTCTCCCTGACCCCCTAGACCTTTCCCGCTGTCTGGTTGCTCATTGTGAAAACTAAACTGGCTTGGGTGGAAAAATAGATCCATTTATTGTTTTAAAGGGTTTATCACTTGTAAGTCAAGTTTTGGTATGTGTTTAAGGTTCTGAACATTGTAACTAGGTGTGAAGTTTTACTTTTTCAGGCATAATATTTATTTTAAATTGTTTTGAGGCATTGCTGCCAGCATTTGCTCATGGTAAAATAGTTGCAGAAAGATCTTTTTTTTTTTTTAAATTTGAAATGCTGTTCATGTTCCCTGGGTGAATCTGTTTCTCATTTTGTGCCTCATTTTTGTTCTTTATGTATGGTTCTCCTAGAACTTGAACCCTTAGTCAATCGTGCTGGGTTTTAATTGAATGCAAAATTACCCAAAGTTCAATTTGCTTTTACAAATAGTATTTTGTAATATGTTCTAAGTTGGATGTCTTGACTCCAGCTGCTGCAGCAGACGTTTTGTGCAGAGATGTGGGGTTTTTTTTTGTGTGCATAAAACAGTCTAATATTCTGAAAAAATTACTCTGCAAAGTGCAAGTCTCTAGTACATAGTGGTGGTAACGACAGAAATATCTACCAAGATAATTTAATGATGCTTAGGGTTGGATTGTGGTTTTTGTTAATCTGTAGGGGAAATCACTCATTTTATTTTCCTTCTTTAGTGACATATTGAGCCCATTTATCAGCATAGAGAAATTTAGGTTGGAAGGGACATTTGGTGTCATTTGGTCTAACCTCCTACACAAAGCATGTTCAACTAGATAGGTACATTTTGACCCATATCTAATTTGAATTTCCTGTTTCTCAATTTTTTGTCCATTGCCTCTTGTCCTCTTACTCTGCACTTCTGAGAAGAGCCTGGCACCATCATCTCTGCACCCTCCTACTCTAACTGTGGACAGCAGTAAAGTCTCCTTGGAGCCATCTCTTCTCCAGGATGAACAAACCCTTAAGCTCTCATGCATCCTGTGCTTCAGTTCCCTAACCATCCTGGTGGCCTTTCATTGGACTTGCCCCAGTGTATCTATGTCTTTCTATAATTAGGGATACCAGCTGGTATATGGTTGGTATTTGGTCCTCCCAGTGGTGAATAGAGAAAAGTAAACACTTCTCCTGACCTGCTGGTACACTCCTGTTAATTCAGCCCAGAACACACTTGGTGTTCTTTGCCACAAGGCATGTGGCTGGCTCGCGTTCAGCTAGTTGTTCGTTGCCAGTCCTTCTCTGCAGAGCTGCTCCCCATCAGTCAACCTCCAGCCTGTACTGCAGTGGGGGATTATTCCCTCCTGGATGCAGGACTTTGCACTGATGATCCTCATGAGGTTCCTGTTGCTCCCTTTCTCCAGCTTGCCCTGGTCTCTCTAAGCAGCAGTCTGCCCCCCAGCCTCTTGACTGTCCCCCACACAATTTTTGAACTTGGTACGTGGGCACTCCATTTCAGCACAGTATCAGTCCCTGAGGGGTACCACTGACAGCCAGCTGCCAGCTGGGCTTTGTATGCAAAACACAACCTTTTGAGCCTGGTAGTCTGGCTGGTTCTCCACACAGATTTTTGTGGCAGCATTCATCCCAAAGAGGTAGAGGTTGATGGTATTATTTTTAAGCTGTAAAATCTATATTCAATCAGAGGAACCTGGTTTTGATATTTTGTACACTTACAGGCATCTCAGTGGAGGTGAAAATAGGTTTTCTTCTTTCCATTGAAGAGAAGATCTGTGTTAACTGTTGGTTAGCCAGCCAAGATGGGTGAAGGAACGGGAGGGGATGTGATAGCCTTGTCTGGATGAGGCAGTGGCTGCTCTTGGGATAAGGAAGTGATCCAGCAGATAAGAAAACATTCTTTATAAAAACAAAAGATGTGCTAGAAGTGTGTAGTCTCTATTAACACAGTTCATATCCACAGATACATATTTATTGAGGTGCAAGATGTCTGCTCTGAGGCTGATTTCTAACAGAACCTCCCATCAGGCCTCGTCTAACTCTGATTACACCTGGGACTACGAGTACTATGAGTACGGACCAGTGTCATTTGAAGGCCTGAAGGCTCACAAATGTAAGTTCAGTAGAGACATACTGTATTGCAGCTAAGCTTCCTGTCTTAATGTTCCTACTCTTCATTTGTGACTGATTATTGTACAAAAATATTTCTCTTCTAATTCTAAAGATTTTCTACTTTTTTTCTCTATTTATTTGATTATTATAATTGTTTATTATTCTGTATCCCTTTGTTGACTGTTTTTCTTGTGCATGAAACAACCAAGGCTGTGGTAGAAATTTGTCCATACTAATACTATTAGAAAAGTTTACAATAGCAGATAAAGCCACTGCTGCTTCTGGTGACTACTCGGTATGATCTGTATTGCTTTGCTATTGCTCCTTTTAATGGTAAAAAGGCAGTGATGGACAGCCTTACTACTTTTGTTTTTCTTCATAGAAAATAAAATAAAAGAAGAATTTTCTCCTTCTGAGCAACCCTTTATTGTTGGGACTTTCCTCATGGGAGGAGTGTGCTAAATTCAGTGTTTCAATAATACTGTTTTACAGTAGAAGTAATAAGTGGACAATAGGGACCAGAGAGATGAGAAATATGGGTTGGAACCAGGAGAGAATTTAGCTAGGACAAGCTAGTAGAGCTAGACCAACATCTATCTAAAATCTAATGGCTTTGGATTTTATGATTTGTTTTTTTAGAGGAGATGGTTGTTGGGGGGGGAAAACAAAAAAGGAGGCGAAATAAAGGTAACAGAGATCAACTCAGAGATCAAACCTGATGGTTTGCAAGCACTTTGTCAAAGAGAAACAAACAATCTTGTTTCTTTGTTTCTGATCTGGAAACATTGTGAGAGGGTTTGAGCATCAGTCTTCAAAGTACTGGGGAAAGGCCAGATTGGGATACATACTTTCTGTCTCATTTGTAACAATGAGCCATTCTGGACAGGAAAAAGTAGTGTTTGCAATGACAAACAGCAGCCCAGAAAGGCTGATCTCCCTTGGCTACCTGGGCACAGCCATGGAACATTCTGGACAGCTCTCAGTAGAGAACAGGACAGAAGTAACAACTGCTTTTCAGGTGGAGCTTGGTGAAAGATGTCATTAGTAGTACTGGATCAGTGACCTAGGAAATCCCTTCTGGTTGTTTTTTTGGTAGTTTTGGTTTGGTTTGTTTCTGTTTTTCAGTTGTTTGTGTGTTTGTTTTAATTGATTGATTGGAGTTGGCTCTATTTCCTTCAGTGTTACTGCATGCATTCCTCTGAGGGCAGAGTTTGATCTAGTAAAGGAACAGTCTATGCCAGTGTTGTGTACAGGATGATATTTCTTGACATGGTATGTTCTTGGAATGTGTCTTGTGCTGACTATTACCAGCTGGGTTGAGACTCTTGTGAAATATAGAGGTGATGTGATCAGACATGAAATTCTCCAAAATCCTAAACTGAGGAGGAAGGAGGGGAGAAGATTACACGGGGTTGTATTAGGAGGGACACCTTGGATATTCACAAAGAAGAGATGTTAATGAATACCTGTAACTTTTATTTTGGAGAGCTCAGTGGGGAATGGACTCTGGTCTGGGTGAGGCAGGCTGGCAGTAACACTTGACCAGCTGTAAAACATCACTGCCTCTTCTTAAAGATAGAGATGTATGATTTATTCTTACTATTACTTTTTTAATTAATACACACAGTATCCCACCCAAAATGAGAGGGCACTGTTTTCAACCATAATATAAGAGGAATTCTACAAGAGAAATCTGGAGGACACTTTTGAATCAATGTTGATTTAATTAACTGTAGGCAAGGGGAGGTTGATAATATTTGATGTATATATAAAGGAACTCAGAAGACTGTTTCTGAAAGCAGAGAAAAATTTATTCAAAGTGACATGTAAAGAAAAGGATTGACAAAACAATCTAATACATAAGAATACATTTCTTAAAAAAAGTGGAGATGGGGAGAAGATGAGGTATTCAAATGCCACAGTAACTTTTCTTTTCTATATGACTGGAAAGAAAAACAACCAAAACCAAGCCAAAACAAAAACAAATGAAAAAGGATGTTCTGTCTGAGGAGGATTGAAAACAGGATCTAGAAATCGGAAAATCTGCAAAAGTAGGGACCAGATGTTTTGTAAATTAAAGCTTTAGAAAGTAAATAGGCAAAGATAGCCAGGAGATACTTGTGACTGGCAGAGAAAAGAACAAAATCCTTTTTTGTGCCTCTGAAAGGGGGAAAACCTCAGAGACATTGGAGAGGTAACATAGGTAGGAATGATCAAGGCAGTCAGATCTGCTGTCAGGATGTTATGAGTCTGTTATAAAGGAAAGGAAGGCTGAAACTGCAACTTGAGAAAGTCATGGTATACTTTTACAATCTATTTGTAACTTAGGGCAGTATTATAAATTTAAGTGCCTCATACCATATTTTTTGAACAGAAGTTGTGTTATGTACTGTTTATTTTGAGTAAGTGTTTAGAAGTTCGTAGATTTGGATAATGTGCACTTGAGTGAGACCTAAATGAAATACTGAAAAGAACTCAGGCCACCTACTTGTGTTTTAAACAAATCCAAATAATGTAACTGATTCAGCAGAGGGTTGAAAGTGTGTCAGGAGGCACAATTAAGCAAGGCAGATGTAGCTTTATGCTCAGTAAACTTAGGAATTCCTTTGTGGGGGAGGAACACCAAACAAATCAGAACACAGACTTGTTATTCTTCACATAATGCTGGTGGGTGGGAGTTTTGTGGGAAGTAGTGGTTTATCAGACTTTTTAATTTTTTTTTTTGATTTCTCTCCTCCCTTAGTTAATGGATTAAGTTTTGCAGCTCGATCAATATAATCTATGTGCATATTCTTTGATCATCTTGGCCACACTTTACATTCTGGTTATCAATGCAGTTGCATATAATTCAAACATGTATGACTAACTGGTCATTACTAGTAGTTGTAAATGGTTAAGTGGTATTTTTTAATGGTGGTATTTATTTTTAGATTAAATTTTTTTATTTTTAGATTTATATTTATTTTTAGATTTATATTTATTTTTAGATTAAATTTTCAGGTATTGCTAAGTCCAGTAGTAGGATAGATAATCATGAGCTATTTTCTACTAGTAAGGTCCAACACAAGGTGCATCTTGAACCACTGCATACAGGCTATACTTACAGGATGGTTCTGAAAGGAGTGTAGGGCACACAATAGATGGCATTAACAAAAATAAACTCATTCCAGTATACTTTAAGCAAAAAAGAACTTAGAACAAGTAAACCTATGACAGGGTATTACAAACTCCTCTCCCCTATTGCAGAGACCTATACTTGCACTGCTCTCTAGTTATTTTACACAGGGTGTTGAGAGGAGAAGATGTGGCATAGGAGAGATGGAATAAACACTGCAGTGAGAGACTTGAAACTTAACCTCCTTACCTTACTAGAGAAAGGAATTCAGGAGTGACTTGATTTTCCAAGGGAGAAAATCTCAGGTTGCAGCAGGCGTTTTGACTTTGCAGCAAAAGAACAGATGATTTGAGCTGATTTCCAATTTCCACATCTGCCTTTTAGCACAGAAGATACTTCACAGTGGGAGTGTGATTAACAGCTGGTGTCAAGCACCAGGCAGGATAGCTGATTCCTTGGGTTTTTGTTCTCTTTAGCTAGTCCTGTAGAAAATTCAACAGTTCTGTGCTGTGCCTGCTGCACTGTGTCAGACAGATCATCATACAGCTTTACAGCCAGTGATGATCTCTGAGGTTTGGTAGTGACTGTGTAATGAGGGGTTAAGGGCAGAAAGGATTCCTGTCCTAACCAAGACTTCCTTCTTGCATGTTTGTATGTGAATTGTTTCAAACTCCTATGGGGGAAGTTTTGAAAACTTGCATAAACAAAAAATAAGTAACTGAAATGATAGTTGAAAAAGTACCTGGACCAGGTCATATTTTGTGGTGGTGTTCTGCATCTTGGGTCCTTGAATATCAGTTGATTGTTGTCTGGAGATATGTTTGTCCCACTTGGACCTCTCTAAATCAAGCTCCTGGAAACTTTCAACTTCCCTCAGGAGCAATTGTGGATCAACCTTTGTTATAGTTTTATACTTTTTTTATTTTTTGTAGTGAAACTATCCGCCCCTGCAGCCACAGCTGGGGGGGTGCTGGAGAGGAACATTAGGCAGTGAGCCTTTCAGACTGGGGAGGGGGAGAGGGAGATTGGAGGTTTTGTTTGCCAGAACTACCTGGGTACCCTTCAGAGCTGCCAAGACCCAGAGTAGCTCCTGTCTGTCCCTCGGTGACAGAGTCCCTGCGGTGCTTGCAGTAGAGGGGTTACACATCACCTCTGTTGTCACAGGGTCTGCCAGTGCCTTGTGGGGTTTTTTTAGGTCTCCCTGCTCTTTGTTGGAGGACTGACACCTCCACCCTTGCCAGCTGCCGACTCCATAGCTGAGTGGTGGGTGCCTGGGCCTGGCATGGAGTGCCTGGAGCGAGCATTTTTTTGGAGATGACCTGCCTGCAGCTGCCACCATCTGAGGAGGAGCTTCCAAGCACCCCCACTCTGGGATACAGCAAGATAGCTGTTTTGCAGGGGGAGGTTTGTCTTGGAGTCTCAGACCAGCTGCCGCCACTGAGATCCGCCATTTGCCATGTGGGGTTCATCCGGAGGTCGGCACCGCTCCCCTGGCCCTCCCCTCGCCTATCCCGCACTCCTCAGCAAACACTTTGAAGTCATAAGTTGACATATATTTGTTTTAGTAGGACTGGCAAATTTCTATATGATCCATTTGCTACAAATGAGAACAGTAGGTACATTTTATGTACACAGGCAAAAAGCCATTCTCTTCCCAATGACTTCTGCATTTGGTTATTTCATTGGCATTTTCCTTTTGATTAACTAGTGGTTTGACTTTTTGTCGAAACATGTCTGGCTCCTCTGACATTGTATTGCAGTGCTCAAATTAGAAACTCAAATTAAAAATTATCCAAACATATCTTTTATATGTTGATTGATGATATTTGTTAAAGTAGCAGACAGTTTTATCTGTGGTTCTGTTTATTTCAAAACCCTCTGTCTTGTCACTAAAAGAAAGCTAGGTCTTCCTAAACATGCTGTGTCAAAGAAATCCATTAGAGCTCAGAAACCTAATGGTCTGGGGCAGAAATAATTTAAAATAGCAGGAGTTCAGTTCTACAAAGACATAGGATTTTGCTAAAAATCAGATAAACCTCTCTTCTGAGTTCTAGCACTGAAGTTGTTTCCAAAGCACAGTGTTTGGAAATGGGCCAGGCATCACAAAGGTAGCTGCTTGTATTTTACTAACCAAGGGAATTAAGTGTCTTTCCTCTTTTATCTTTTCTAGTTTCTCTAGAAATCAGTAGAATTCAGGCTAGAAATGAGAATTTCAATGGCAACTTTCTGCTTAAACATAGATAATGATAAATTTGACCATTCTTCCTCTTTGCTGCCCAGGAATAAACTGCACATTGTTTTGGATTTGCCATCGTGGTGTTTGTGGAAGGCAGCTTTCTGCAAGTGCAGGTAAAATACTGATCACCTTGTTTTCTCTTTTTTCACCAGATTCCATTGTGATTGGATTTTGGGTTGGTCTTGCAGTTTTTGTCATCTTCATGTTTTTTGTCCTGACCCTGCTGACGAAGACAGGAGCACCTCACCAAGAGTGAGTTTGAAAATGGCAATAAGAAATCCAGCCAACTAATTGGCACATCTGGTCTCTTGCAGCCCCCAAACAAGCAGTGACAGTGCTGACATGGTACTGGCTCAGCACCATCTTGTTCTAGTCCATTCTTATGAAACAGTGTAGTCTATCTTCCTTTCAAACAATCTTAGCATATTCATGCTAAAAGGAAGTTGGTGGGTAGGTTGCCAAACAGATACAGGTGCCTTTAGATTATTGTTCTGCACATAAATGGGATTGCTCTAGGTGAGCTCAAAGTTATCTTGGAGTGGAAGTGTGAATATTGACGGAGTATATGCAAATAAAATGCAGTACAGATGTTAAATGAAGGAAGCTGAAGTCTGGCAGGTTTCCGCGTGTTTGTGTGTTCAAATCCAATCAGTAGTCTGTACAAAATCTTCACTTAATTCCCTAGGTCTCAGAGTGTCTTAGTTTCTGCTGAGAAATTCCAGTAGATGCTGAGGTACAGATCAGCTCCATGTTTGTTTAAAGCCAGAGTGCCTTGAAAGTCCTTTATTTCTTCTTCTTTCTGGCTGATAATTATGTGCAGACTGTGCCTTGCCTCAATAATTTATCTGCATTTGCACAGCACCCAGGCTGCCATTGTTCCTTCCTATGATGAAGTCTGAAGCCACATCTCCTCTCAGACTTGTGTGCCATAAAGTAGAAATAAAAAGCCTCTCTGGAGTGTGAGAACACTTGCAGACAGGTAGCAATGATGAGAAGCTGATTGTGAAAGGCAATTGTTAGTTGCTTATTGCTTCTTAAAGCAGCCTATCTCTGCCTTCTGGAGGCCCTTTGCTATTTAATCATATGTAGACTGGCTCTGAAACATCACAAAATAGCACATTTTTAAAGGTAGGGCCACATTAGAGAGGGCATAGGGCATAGGTATATTGTGAGCCTCTTCTGTGCTCGTAATGTTTTGTTTCTGTGAGAAGAAAACAGAGGCAGAAGAATTCAGCTTACCAGATCTGACTTGCAGGTATTTTTGTTTCCCTTACAGACTGTTACAAAGCAGACAAACCTTGCTCCCAAACAAATTGAAAGTCCTTGTAAGTGTTGGTGTGCTGCCCCTTTTCCCCAAAGACCCTGTTAATTAGCTGAGCATCTGAGTCTGTATCCCACGTGAATAATTTGAGAGGGGAAGAAGTAAAGAAATCAGATATACAACATAGAGAATTTAATATAGATATTTGTCAAAAGTTTTTACACTTGTAAAGATGTACTTTTAGGTAGCAGAGGCCTGCTTGGTGTCTCCCACTGTTTTTCTGTGTTTTTCATCAATTTTCTTTGAACTGGTTTTCTAGAGAGTTTGAGAAACCTCCATCTCTGATCAGCTTCTACATCCAGATAAACTGACCTGAATTCAGGGTTGGCCTTGCCTTCATCATCAGGCTAGAGACCTCCAGAAGCCCCTTCCATTCTAAACCTTATTATAATTTTTCTTCCATTTCTGATGAGAGCCCAATCATTCCTTTCTGTATTTGTTTCAAACCCCTTTTCACCTTTGGGATCTGTGTGCTTGAGTGCTCGCCCACTTTCTAGGTATGCTGAGTCAGCACCCTTAACAAATCTGAGCCCTATTTTTTTGATGTTTGATAATGAAATGTGTGTGGTATTGAACACGGATCATCCAGGAATAGACTAAGTGCAGGGAATACTGTGTCCTCTTATTTCTGATACATGTATATAAAAGCTGGAGAACACCAACCTGTAAAACCAGTGTGGACTGTGATTTTAGTTCGCCTGCATCTTCTATTTTTACACCTGACTGGATTCTTCACAACTTGGCATTTCATTAGCGGGCTGTCTTGCAGCCCTCCTTTAGATAGATGTTAATGGGATTCCTAGGTCTTGGGAGAGAGCCAGCTTGATTGATGGATGTGTCTCCGACTTCAGCAAGGCTATTTGACTGTTCTTTAAAGTGCCATTAATGTGAGAGACAAGTGTAACTGAGCTCAGATGGATGCATCTGAGGTAGAATACTCTGATTTTTCTAGTAATATGCTTTTCTTGGCTTAATATAAAGGGGCATGATAGGATGTGCTTTCCAGAATTATAAAAGATGTTCGGAATTGGATACATCATCAGACCAAAAGGGTCAGGATTTCAATGGGGAGAGGCAGAAATTTAATCAGTTATGGAAATTCTGTCTGTTGCATTTCTCTTTTGTTTGCCTCCATATTAGTATGTGTAGAAGATTAGCTTGTGCAACAAAAAAAATGTGTTGAAAATCTTACCAAATTTCTATCTGAAAAATGCTCTCCTTCATCACTCAGCAGAGGATGTATTCTTCATTTCCGCATTTGGAAATGTACTTAAAAACACATTTGTGCAATAAATGCAAGAGTTTGTGTAAGCTATCTGTAACAAATATTAGCTGGTGTAATCTCAAACCTTCGTGCAGCTATTTAGGCAAGTTGTACCACTACTTGCAGTAAAAAAATGACAGAATTTTTTTTTTTCCAAGAAATCAGTTGATTTTGGTTAAGGAGTCCAGTGTGAAACCCAATCAGAGAAATGCAGACTCATTGAAACAAAAACTTCTACAGATATATGTATGTTTTTGCTAAATACTTATTCAGGGAGATTTCTCAGGTTCAGGGTAGCACTTCAGGATTGCTACTTAATTGCTTCAGATGCCCAAGTTCCCCTTAAGATACCAGACCCTGTTGTTTTGGAGGATTGGCTCCCCTTATTCCTTTCCATGGTTTGCCAAGTACCCCATGTCACTTCAGAGGATGTTGAGAGGAGGGATATTTAAGCTATAGATGAATCTCAAGTGTCAGTCCCAATCCAGTTTGCTCCTGTTAGAATGATACACTGGGCAAAATGGTCTGTACCCTGACAGTGCACTCAAGTCCAGTGGGCAGAGTGGAGAGCTTTAATGCTGAGTCCAGCAAGACCAGAACCCAATATCCCAGGCTGGAAGTATATATGTTGCTCAAGGTTGTCTGACATTCACCTTCCTGCTTCCTTGTTGGCAACTTTTGGAAGTCAGAGAGTTGTATTTGCTCAAATATTGCAAAAGGAATTTGATTGTCCAGGTGGCTGTGTTCCCTTCCACAGTAAAACTAGGATTTCTGAGGCTGCTTTTCTTATTTTAAGTGTTCTGAAAAGGTATCTGCTGAGGTATTCTTGCATATTGTAATAAGCAACACTATGCAAGTTTCTAGTCTAGTTAAAAAAATAAAATTCCTGTCTAAAATACTGAGACGGTGTTTGTGAATTTCAGAATCCAAAAAGATCACTGTATATTAGACCACGTGTTCCCTGCTCATGAACACAGGATTATTCCTTATAGTATGTCCTCAACATTCTGGGTCATTGTAAAATTTATTGACATCTTCTATTCTTCCATTTAGTTTAGGTTGCTGTTGCCAGTCTTGTCTGCACTTGCCCTCTGCACTGTCAGCCTTTGCTCCTTCGTAGCTCACTGAATTATAAAGCACTTTCTGCACCTATGAATTAATTTTACTTCTCTAGTGAATGCATTTTAAGCTTTCTTCTGCAGTCACTTCTTCCTAGGCTTATAGTGCTTGTCCTTCTTTCTGTGCTTATTTGCTACCTCCACTGTTAGTGCCATAGTACTGCATAGAAACTCTTGGGACAGATTTGCAAAACTATGGAGGAGACTTACATAGCGGTGCTCTTTGTTGCATTACAAAGATATCAATGTCAGCTGTCAGTTCTGAAGGCTACCATGGAATTATTCCAGTCTGTTTGCTTCCTGGTGTGTATGCAGTCGATTAGTAGTTACTGGTCTGTCTTGCATCGGTGTAAACGTTATTCTTCTACATTTCACTTTGACAAGCAGAAAGAGGCAACACAGTTTTGACAAATTAGAGAACTGCTTTGATTTGAAGGCTAGTGGAAGTGATTTTGTTAGGACAGGATTCTATCATCTAATGGAAGTAAATTAGCGTTTAAGAAGCAGGGATCTTTAAGGTTAACTATGCCTGAAAGACTAATGGTAGGTATTCTGTGAACTCAAAGGTTTTAGGGGTAGATTTCTGAAGGTGTCATCTGAGGCTTTCAAAAGCATGTAGGCACTTATCTCCTACTGCAGGCTTGAGAGAATTAAATTACAGCATTTCTCTGAAAAACTCTAAGTGCTGGGTGCACCTTTAGGTGTCCAATTATCTGACTCCAGTGTCATTTGCTACGTGTTCAGATGCAAACAGTATGATTTCTTAACAAAATTTATATTCTGAGAATATGTTTAAGTTTTCATTGCTCATCCTCTGAATACCTCTACTGCATGTCAGGTGCAAACAACTTGCATTTTGTGATGATAGCATATAAATTCAGCCTGAAAAAGAATGTAAAACTTCCATCTAGCTTGAGCTTTTCTCACCCCCACATGCTTATGGCTCCTACAAAGTCCATGCAGATTGGTACTGATTTGAGCTAAGATATATATAAAAAACTCCCAAGAAATATGTTAAACTGTCCTTCCTGGGCTATGTGCCTGAATTGTTAAGGCTGTCAGTCTTTGAAGCAGTCTTTAGTTCCAACTCTTCTAATTTGTAAATCTGAATGCCATCAATTGAATTCAGGGGAAAAGATGGTTTGATGCCTGGACAACCAAGTACTCAAGTTATGCCTTAGTGAGATCAATGCTGCCTGTGCCTCAGAAAGATTTTACCTATCAAGGACTTTTTTCTCAAAGTGTTCTTATAAGCCATTTAAAAAGATGTTATTACTTGATACTACTTGATATCAAGAGGAAATCCTGAAGAGTATTTCTAAGCTCATTCAGTGAGGTGATTATTACAGTATATTGGTTACTGGAAGTGCCATTTAAGAGTGCTGGCATTAACTTATTCCCATGGAAAATTATCGTGATAAATCAAGACTTAAAATAGCTTCAGCAGAAAATAATAAATATTGGTGGCTTTAAAAGTTTGTGGTAGTTAAACCAAAGGGTTTCCTTTCTTCTCGATCATAGTGGTTGTTGAAACCACGAAATTTGCTGATAAGGACTCAAATAGTTCTACTTTTGTGTTTACTGTATTTTTCTTTTTCCTCCCTAGCAATGCAGAACCTTCTGAAAAAAGATTTCGCATGAATAGCTTTGTGGCAGATTTTGGAAGACCTCTGGAGTCTGAGAGGGTCTTTTCTCGTCAAATGGCTGAAGAATCCCAGTCACTTTTCCATTTCTGTATTAATGAAGTGGAACATACGAACAAAGCAAAAGAGAGTCAGAGAGGTCCAGGTCTGGAGAGTAATATCCACTTCCAGGAGGTTCCCAGAAGCAGCGGAATGTTTGAGGAAGACCTACATTGTCTTCCAAAATTTAACATTCCTAACTTTGTGAACACTGAGCAGAACTCTTCATTAGGTGAGGATGATCTCCTCATCTCAGAGCCGCCAATCATTTTAGAAAGCAAATTGGTCATGCCATCTTCCCATCGGATGCTTGACTGAAAAAATCTTTTATGTTAAGGTAAAAGATTGCCCAGTTTGAACCCTCACTTGCCCTTCTGTTATTTTGACAGAAGGTATTTCAGATCTGTGCTTTTTATTGTATATAAGACTGGCTGTGCTACTAGAACTCGGTGTAGACAAGAGTAAACAAGTGTAAAACACTAAATGCTTTATTCTGATGTCTTCTGTGGTCTAAACTTTTTGCCCAGTGTTATTTTTGCTTCTTGATTTTTTTTTGTTTCTTGTTTTGTTCTTTGATTTGAAAGGACTGCTTATGACCAGCTTCTGAAGGATCCCGTAACAATTTACAAGGGCTGTGAAGGCTGGAGCCTGGTACTGGGAAATGTATGAAAATTCCCTGGCCAGGGAAAGTGTAAATCTTAAAGTGAGACTGAAGTAAGGAATAAACAGGCAGCCCCTAGGGAGGTTCTGTAGCTTCTGCTTCTTTCAATAACGATGCCTGAAGTTAAGCAGCACAATAAATATCTGCTTGGGATTAACTTCAATTTCTGATTCCTAACTGTTTTCAGTGCAGGTTAAAGCCATATTAGAAAGTTTCCAGAGGGAATACCTTGCAAATTTAATTGTTTGGCCACGTGCTGCTGAGTAAAAGCAAATTGGTGCCTGTACTTATAGTACTTCATAGTGACACTCCAAGAGCTGCCAAGTGATGATGAGGAATTAGTATTCTACATGCCAACACAAACCATGATTCGATTTTTTTTTTTAATTACTGATGTGAACTTCCAGTTCAGTAAGTGTAGGATTCAGTTCAGTAAGTGTAGGATTCAGTAGCTAAATCACAGGAAATAAAAACTTATTTTTCTTTAGCCAGTGCAGTTACTATGTGCAACGTTAAGGAGGTGTTATGTGTTGCTTATAGGCTGAACCTTCCTATGCTTTTTGGCTTTATAAACAGCCCTTTCTTTACTCATGGACCAGGGAAGGGCTAGCAGGCTTTGAATTGTTGAGAACACCAGCTCCAAAAGTGAAGCTAAGCTCTGCTTGCTCTATCTTTTTGTACTCAGTTGGGATGGTGTTGCAACCTCAGCTGTTCTCCCAAGGAAAGGTTTGTCAAGAAATTGAATAGGTGTAGTTTCAACCTTTATTTTTAGAGACAGAATAAGGTTCTGAACCTTAGAGGGTACTTAAATTATATTTCAGCTTTCCTCAAAAGATGGTAATTAATGACCAAGTGGCTTTAGAGCAAGCACAGATAATGCAAAGGCACCAGGTTCAAATCTTTTGCTCGATTTGGAGTATGCTCTGCAGGAAATTCTTAACTGAAATGAAAATAGTAGATGGCAGATACAGTGGCTGGTTGGTTTTTTTGAAACTAACCAACTTTGTGTCAGAGGGAAAATGTAGTAGTGGCCTGCTGATACATTCTTCAGACACTTAAATGCTAATTAGTTCATTCCTCCTTCACCTTACAAATAGGAAAAATAGTGAATGGGTTGAATATTTAAAGAATTAAAAAGTGCAGGAAACATATTTGGTTTTTATCTTCTGTGCCCTTGTTATAAACCAGTTATTGCTAAATTTCCTGTTTTCAAATGTAATTCTTACACCACTTGCTAGTTGTTTAAAGTAATGGGATTATACTTAAAACAAAGCAGAGACTATTTTAAACTAGCAAATTTTTTTTTTGAAAATAGTTCCAGGAGAAGACTGAAGTGAACCCTGTTCGAAATGAGCAGGGCTCCATGGGCTGCAATGCAGATCTCCAGTAAAATGTTTCAGGTGCAGAAAAGGCCTTCTTTCACAGGAGGTACTTAACCTACAAGTTTGAAGGCTGTAGCTGTGCACTTTTCCCAAATTAAGAAATCTGGGAAATCTGCCTCTGGATGTGGCAACTACTTCCTGCTGAGGCCCCTCAAATAACTGTTAGTTATCTGAAGTGAAGCTCAACATTGTTCTTGCTAACAAGTTCTGGGACTTTTACTAAGCGTGGCTTTTATAGCCTATTTCTGGATTAGTGAGCTGCCTTCAGTAACGTTTGAGCCATTCTTTTTCAATTTTTTTCTTCCTTTGCCATGCTTGAAAACAGAAATGCTGCTTAAAGGAGAGGAAAATCTGTGTAGAATCCCTCTCCTCTGCAATCTAGGAATGAAGGTTATTTTTAAAGCATTTAAAACTCTGTTTCATAGAACCATTTAGGTTGGGAAAAGATCTTTAAAATCACTGAGTCCAAGGATTAACACAACACTGCCACATGTCCCCAAGTGCCACATCTACATGTCTTTTTAAATCCTTCAGGAATGGTGACTCCACCCCTTGCCTGAGTAAGCCTGTTCCAAGGATTGACAAGCCTTTTGGGGAAGAAATCGTAAAAGTTTCAGATGTTTCAAAATAAGCAGGTCTGATTTTAGAAAAAGAAAATGCTGCCATTCCCAATAGGCTATCCTAAGGCTTTTCTTCTGCTACCTTAAACCTTTGTGGTTTTTCTTTGGGTGTATAAGTGCTACTTCGGGGAGAAAAGGGGGAAGCATTTTGTGTATGGATGCTGGTGAAAATGCCTAGATAAAAGGTATTTAATAAAATGACAAAGAGATAATATCAACTTAACTAAAAACACATCTGAATTGTATTCTCAGTGTCCTTCTGAAGCATGTATTAATCCTGTAAAGCTATTTAAGTGTTTGGTTCCTCCCTGTTATTCCCCGATGATGGTTACACTTTTTTCATCTTATCTCCCTTCTATTTTTTTTAAGTCCTTCATGCTGCTTTTTACAGAAAAATAACCTGGCAGTCCCCACTGCAAAGTTCTCCCACCACTTCAGAGACACAGTGGCAGCAATAAAGTCTGATTGAGTTTTTTGTTCTGCCTCTGCATTGGAGTCAAAGGTAATTGCAGAAATGTTCTGCAGTCTCCAAAAGCAGTTATTTTAAAGTTTTCCTTCCTTTCTTTTTCCTTTCTTTTTTCCTTTCTAGGAACTAACAGACATATTTTGCCTCAGGGGAAAAGGGCAATGTATAACATGCTTAAAAAAATTAATCTTTATCCAGGAAGCCAGAGTGCATTCATTATGAAGTAAATAGAAAGTGTTCTGACCAGAGTAATCCTTCAAAATGAATAGATGGAATTTAGTGGTGCCTGAAAATGAAACTCTTGAGTTTTTGCATTGCTTGGCGTCAAGCCTCTTCTCAAAACTCACGATTGATGCATCACCTGCAGTAGATCTAACTGCAGAGAAGCTCCTCTAAGGGTAACTACATGCATAAACATGTCCTGTATTCTGTAAGAACTTACTAGGTTGAGTTATGTATTCCAGTTTTCAAAGGTGAATACTTGCAAAATGTTCTTCTGTGTAAACAAGTTTTAGCTGTGTACCTTTTTTAAAAAAAGAAACCTCAAACCTTAAATGCAAAATCAGAAAATGCCTGCTCATTGAGAAAAGAAAGGTAAAACTGTGAACTTCTCTCCTAAAATCTAGTGCTACCCAGTAGTTGAGACTAAAAGGTGAAGTAAGTGATGCATGTTTGTTGTGCAGTTAAGTATTTATGCACCTGAGCTCTAGATCTTGAATAACACATTTTTTGCCACTTTTTAGCCTCAGGTATGGCAAATACGGGCACTGAAGAAATGAGGCTGCACACACACAGAGAATTCGATTTCAGAATTTGTCCACATATCTCTCTGCATTCCCTTTATTAATCTCTTCAGGTAAACAGAACCTGCTGTTGCCATTCAGTTAACTAGAATTCCCAGAACTTTTTGCAAACTCAGTGTTGATTCACACACTCCTCAGCTCCAGGGCCAAAACACTCCCTTTTGATTCCAGTTAATGCAGACACATCTAACTCAGCTTGTTCCCACATTGGGCAGTGACAGGAGCAAGGACAGCAGAAGGCAGAACCTTCTACCCCTCCTTCTCGAACAAGAGCAAGAGTTGGAGGCATGTGCTATCTTGGTTTTGGACAAGAGCTATGTGGTTAGCTGTATGAAAAGGTAATTATAATTCAAAGTTATCATGGAACTTCCGTTCAAAAGAGTCAGGGCAGCACCTGATGCAAGGCCCACACTTCCCTGCAGAAGTGGATTTGCACTGCTAGTGCTAGTATACCCATCATTTATCCTTACATTTTCCAAAATAGCTGAACTAGGGGATAGAGTGGCAGACTTCAAAATGTAGTATGTGCTATCAACTAAAGTCTTCATACCCGATAACCTACTTAATTTGCTACATGAACAATTTGGACCTGTATTTCAGAGAACCTGAAATGGAACACATTGCTGCTGTCTCTGCCCCAAGTGCCATGATGAGATCTGATCCTTTTCTGCACATCCTGTTTACCTCTCTTGAAGCGATGCTTTCTCTGTAATCTAGGTCACTGAGTCACCTAGCCAGCTGCTCACTCGATTTTTTTAAAAGCGCCAAATATGACAATTCAAATTATTATACTCCACCTGCTTTGCTGTAAACAGATGAATTCCAGCTAAGCATTAGACAATGATTTAAGGACATTCTGTTTGGTTCTTTTAATCCATCCATTATGCTGCCTCCTGGAAATGTATGATGAAATAGAACAGCACAAGAAGAGGAGAGACATACATAATGAGTATATAATTATATAACTCCTGGAATGATCCCACTGAAATCATTAGTAAAAGCTAACGACTTGTTTTGTCAGCCTTTGCTCCATTTCAGGGTATTTCCCCCTTTCTGTACTGTGAAGACTGCTGGAGAGTAAACAACTAACTTTAGCAGAGAACTTACAACTTGGGCCCTAGTTTTCCAAAAGGAACACCTCACTACAGTCATTCAAGCCCACAGAGAGTCTGCTACTGTGTGTTCACTTCATGCTAAATGCTTTAAAAACTGAAGACCGTGCTTCAGTGAGTGTGCAACTACATAAATACATGTAAGAACACAGTATAAACCACATTATATCTTACAATAATGATAAATAATACTGTCCCTGCTCAGTAAAATAGACAGAGAGAGAATTTAATTCAAACTATGTAAGATAACAGCATTTGCTGAGAACTGACTATAAGAATTTTAAAAAGTGTTTCAATGACATGAACACTAAGGCACTCTTTTGATGACCTAAGCATTAAACATTTGAGAGAATTTCCAGCAACCAGAAATACTCCCTCTAGGATTCCTGTCCTAGGCAGTGCCCTAGAGTACCTCCATCCAGGAGCTGACCACTCTGGGAACACAAGGGTTGCTGTAATTTTTAAAAAGCTCACACTTCAGGTCACACACTTTAATACAGTCTTACATGTATAGCAAATTGTACAGGAAGTAAATGGTAAGTTGCAATATTATTCAACTTTATTCTTTTCATTTGCAAAACAGACCCAAATCAGTAAAATACAGCATATTTACACAGAGCTGATATTTTATATACAAAGCATTTTCAGATGGGATCAAAATATCCATAGTAGAAATACTGAAAATATCTGAATATGAAAACATCAAGGTTACTATATTAATTGGCAACTGACCAAACTTTTTTAATATCTCTCTATATATGTGTATAAAGTCTCATTTTATGTTTGTGTATGTGCCAAAAAAACCCCCAAACCTTGCACTTAGGCACTGTGGTATAATTTGTTACAATCTTTTGTTCTTTATGCATGCTCAGTCACATTCTTGTATGAGAGAAGGTGCACATTTATTGCTGATCCCTGAAGAACATGACACATAAATACACATGCAGAGGCCTGAACTGTTTCACATTTGATTTAAATGATAGCTTCAACTAATACCACAGGGACCTGAAGAGTACATTCTAGCTTTTATCTTCCCTTTGCCCTAAATGAGTATAGTCGATTGAGCTACAACTTCAATATATGTGCTACGGGATTCTTAAGGACTTGCAGCACTGAAGCTTCAAACTAATAATTTACTGATTTATTGGAAACCCATCCCTTCTAACCACCAAATAGCTATCCATCTTAAATTTTCTTTATTTTGACTTACCGCTTCTTCCTTCTAGCAGCAGGTTTTTCATATACCTCAAGTACAATAGCCATGCTCACATTCCCTCCCCAGTCTCCTCCCTGGAACAGGGCAGCTCCTGTGGCTTCAGAGGTTCCTAAGGCTACGTTTTTTACTGTGACAATTTTTCCCTCCACTGAGGCCATTTCTTGAAACAGGGGACCAAAAGCTTCGCACACTGAGGTACACCTTAGTGATGCAGTAGGAATTGCTCCTACGAACGTGCTCTACAGCACAGATGTGTAAGTCCAGGAGGGCCCAAGGAGAGGGAGAAGGCAATTATCTCTAACATTGCTTGTTACCTGCCATGATGCTGTCAGCTCAGCAGAAAGTTACATCCACATCTGGTATTTGAGTAGGGGATTACTCTTGCTTAAGCATACTAGTCTCTTTTGTCACTCTCAAGGACAATATTAGTTTGTTGAATTTTTTTTCTCTGGTCCCTTTTCTAAGTTGCTCAGTATTTTAACTCTGAATTTGCCCACTGACACATCCCTGCAGTCTGAGCTTTAGCACATTGTCTTCACATGTGACTGGCCTCTGGTCTGCCAAAATCACCTATAAAGATATTACTGTGTCAGATTCTGAACAGCCCATTGTTAAAACCTTATCAATATGGCCTTCCCTTTTAAAAGGGATACTACTAACTACTCTTTCACTGTATTTTATAGCCTGTTTTAAATCTGCCCCATAACAATTCAGCTAGACCCACTCTGCCATCATTCTGAACAGCACAGTTGGAAATACTGGAAAAGTAAACAAAGAGCAGTTTGAATCTGAGCATCGCCAGGGAATGTCTGCTCTGCTCCAGCCCTCCAGTCATTCACTAAGTTGGAAGGGATTTTAAAGATAAGGGAAGGAATATTATATGAACTGGAGGGAGAGAAGCAAAATGATGGAAAAAGATGATTTTCCTGCCCTACAGAATGAAATACATTATACACTAAACATACAAATAAAACAGCTAATTACTCAAATTGTTCACAAAGGAATCACGATAACACAGGTAATAAACAAAAGTTAAAAATATTCAGGCATGTTCTACAGTACCTGAAAAAGGGTATTTTTCAGAGGTAATTGAATTTATGGAATAACCTCAGCATTCCTATTATTATTATTAAAAAAAATGTAGGTAACTTTATTACTAACAAAATAAAAGACATACAAAATTACTAGAGTATTGCTCAATGCACATCTACCTTTGGACATGCAAGATTACAGATAAAATCAGAATGCAATTCAATTTACGTGTGTTACATCAATGATTTTCAATAACATTTTCTACACATAACTTTGAACATTAAAATTCTACTTCTCTAATCAACTACTACCTAATCATGTCTTCCAGCAGCTGTCTGTCATTCTGAATCCAACAGAATCAGGCGCAGGAATAACAACCCCTTGTTTCTGCAGTTCACGTAAAACATCTAATATTGAATCCAATTCCACTCGAAATTTCTCCAGTTCTTGATTCTTCTGCTGTGCCAGTCTTCGCCACTTCTCAGCCTCATGGGTTTGCCTTGTTTCAGTAATGTGATGTGTTAGTTGGGTTGCCTGTAAATTAGAAGCAAGTCAACACTG